TTTTCCCCTTGTGTTGTGACTCATGGACTGAGGGCAAAGACAATTTTATTATTAATCTTTATAAACTACTCTTGAACACATTCCCTACTTTATTATTTTATCCTGTTTGCTAACAAGCAGGGTTAAAAAGCTTCAAATGCACAATTAATGAATTGACACCAGGTGGTTTGGTATTGCATCCCAGCTTAGAATACAGCACTTAAACTGCAGTTTACATTTAACAAAAATCTGTTTTGTTTCAGGGAAGGCGGGATTTTTCGCAGTCCAGTTACTCTACATGAACTCTCAACTTTACTAATTGTGGACTATTTTGCAGTATTTAGGACAAAATCATATGCAAGACAGTCAGGGCCTACATTGGTTTAACTCACACCAGATTTTATCCCTGAAGCACGCCATATAAAGCAGTGACGGGTTGTCGCAGAGTGCATTTTCAGCATGACTAGAGGTGCCATCCTATGCAAACCTAGGCAGAAAAAAAGTCTGACAACTCACAGTGTTGAGGGGCTTCTTTCTGCTAGGCTTGCATATGATTGCACCTTAGATCAAGGAGGAGAGTCACTGCACAGCAGAGCTGAGTGGCTTCCATCCCCACTGGATGGTGGGGCTGCCAAGAACTGCATCAGCCCCAGCATCTCACATCTTCAAACTAGCCGCATGATCTGAGCAGACACATGTACGACTCCACTGATTTTATCCAAGGAAGAGGACCGTGCATCTTTTCCTTTCTTTCTGCTTGATCATCCAGTCATACAGAGATATATTTGGCCCCTGCTGTCATCTTTTTCCAGCTCCATCCTTACTATTTTGTTGTAATTCATAGGATCTCTCCAAGGCACTGCCCTGGCAAATGGAAGATGGACGGCCTGTTTCCCCTCATTAGCAAGGTAAGTGGCCCAGCTTTTTTTCTGTTTTGTTACACTAGCCTGCCAAGCTTTGTCGACATTCTATGGATTTCCAAGGCTGCCTTATTCCAAGGCAGCTTATTTGTCCAGCCTACCTGGTGTGGTCTCCCCTGTCTCTGACTGACAGTAGCTCTCCAGTGGCTGGGTTCACACAATAAATCACGCTCGAGCGCTAAGTATAGGTTGTCATTGAACCATGGGTTGTTATTAAACAATGGGTTGTTGGTTTGTGTGAATCCAGTCATGCTAACAAACCTCATTTCCCCCTCACCTGCCCATGGTCCATTTGGTGGTTCCCCTCCTGAAATGAGAATAGCAACCTTTGGCTGGTGAAAATGTAGGAAAGTTTGGGGTAGGAGCTAGCAGGAAGTTGTGGAGTGGAATAGGGCTTACAGGGGCAAAACTCCAGCACTGTTTAGCTAACAAGGATGCTGTTGTCATCTGTCATCCCCCTCAGGCTTCCCTGATCCACCAGAGCATAGGAGGCAGATTTTTCCTAGCAACTGTCTATTTTTGTGAGCTAGGCCTGTTGCAATCCAGAGTGTTTGGGGTGGCTTGGTCTTGAATGAACAATTGACATACACACAGCATTCATGCAGGTATGCATGCAAGCACATACACATGAAAGGTAAAGGTTCCCCCATGACATTAAAGTCCAGCCATGTCTGACTCTAGGGGGTGGTCCTCATCTCCGTTTCCTAGCCCAGGGAGCCAGCGTTTGTCCACGGACAGTCTCCGTGGTCATGTGGCCGGCATGACTAAACACCGAACTGCACGGAACGCTGTTACCTGCCCACCGAAGTGGTACCTTTTTACACATACACAGAGAGATGGATTTTTGGACTCTCCTTAGGAACATAGGTATAGGGATTGTCGTGTTGCTTGCTTGCATTTCAAAATTTCCATTACATTATGCCACAATTGGAACAGTCTTCTAATCTGAAGAAAGAATTCACCCATGTGATGCCACACCATAAGACAGAATTGAATTAATTGCAAGCAGGTTAGAGCTGGCATTGTTGGATGGAACAGTATTCATAGCAGCTGCCTTAGCTCCTCCATAAATCTCTACTTCAATTAGCCTTCTTCCAGCCTTGTAAAACTGTAAAAGGTGTCCTGGACTTGCAAATTGCAATGGAAAAATGGCAAAAGTGTACTGAGTGAATCAAGAAAGAGAAATGAACTGTGTCAATTTGGCAAAAGCACGTGCCCTGGTGCCTGTGTGTGTATATCTATGAATGTGTGTCTATTTTGACTAGTCTGGGCTCAGATCAGATTGGATATCCTGATGCATTTTCCACGTGGAACTACAAATGAATGAGCCTCTGTGGAAATGGGTGCCATGAAGAAACTTCTCCAGTTGTCTTTTCATTTTATAATCTTCTGCTGCAATAGGGTTTGTGTCCCAACTGAAGGCAGTTGTGAAAGGCTGCGTACCCCATTGGGTCAGTGTACTGCATTTTTTATGTGCACAGGAAAAGAAAAACAGCCTAGAAATTTCAGTATATCTCAACCGTAAGCTGCCTGGCTTTTTTCCAAGTATCCATCATGATAGAATGGCATCAGGAACTTGCAATGTTTCCACATTCTTTCCCATCTAACCATAAACATGTAATGTCTTGCTGCATCTACGAAGCTAGTCCTCAAACTATGTTGTTGATAAAGAGAAGAATGTTCAAGGGCCTTACTTTAAGGGACTTAAACTGAAAAAAAATATGTACCATCCACTGGTGAAGAAAGAACGCATTAGTAACTTATGAGAACATATGCAGGCAGGATCCTTAATATAGAAGTTAGCATATCATAGCACAATCTTCTGCATGAGTGATCAGAAATAAGTTCTGCTGAATTTAATGGGACTCACAAGAAAATGGGTATAGGGTTGCAACCTCAATATCCTTCTGATCTTTTCCTCTCCCTGTGCCCAGTATTGACATTTACGCCAAATAAATGGTTTAGAAACCAAGTCTGCCTGAGATCTATTTCTGAATTCACCTATCTTGACTGTTCAGATGATGCTAAAAACCTGCATAACACTGGCTCAGAGAAATGTGAGCGAAGTAAGGTTGCCCACCCATCTCGGGCATGGCTTGTCTTTGAAATAACACTGGGCAGGAAAAACAGCTTTTGTCTCCATTTGGATTTGTTTGATCCAAATGGATCCTAACCCTGAATTTGTTTGATCCTAACCCTGAATATCTTTGATAGCAGATGTGTGGTAACCACCAGTTTCTAGATTCATATGATCATGAGTCAGGACAGGTTGCTGTCCATGCTGGGCAGCCTTTTGAATTTCTCTAAGAATGTAAGAAAAGCCATGTTGGATGACACCAGTGGTCTGTCCAGTCCAGCACTTCTCTTGCAGGCTGGCAAACCAGCTGCCCACAGGATCCCTCAAGCAGGATGGACTCGAGTGTTCCTCCTGCCCAAGCTCTTCAGCACCTGGTGTGTGCACAGAGGCAGCACATAGCTGGCAAGGCCAGTGGCCACAGATAGCCTTCTCTTCCATGAATTTGTCCAATCCCCTTTTAAAGCCATCGCTACTTTCTGTGCAGTGAATCCCATAGTTTAACTATGCACTGTGTGATGAAGTACTTTCTTTTAACTGTTCCAAACCTCCCAATCAATTCAAGCTGGGACAGGGAGCTTCATGTGTTGTGCAAACCAGGCAAAGGTGGCTTATGTGAGGATTAAACAGTCTTCACATAACCCATGAACTTATTTAACTGTTGCATAAGCCACCTTCTCCATGGAAGTGTTGTGCTCATCTGGTGACCAAGAGTTAAGCAAACTCAGCGCTGTTTACACCTTTTGTGTACTTCCCTTAACAATAGTATTTATTCATGTCCCATCTTTCCTCCAAGGAACTCAAAATAGTATACATGCTACTTCTTCCCATTTTAGCCTCACAACAACCCTGTGAGGGAGGCTAGCAGGGAGCTAATGGTTGTCCAATGTGCTATATGCTGGAGTGAGGATCAGAACCAATCCCCAATCCTAGTCAAGCACTCTACTAACCACTATACCAAATGTTGCATATGTGTATACATGCATAATGTCAAGTGTTCACATAAATAAAATCGGTCTGGATTTTGGCAATCTAAATGTTCCACCCTTGCCTCTGAAGTTCTGCCGTTCCAGCTGTTTTACCATTGGACAATATTCCAAAAAATTGAAGGTCAAAAGGAGAACAGTGGGAAGCAACACAAGAGAATGAGAAGGGCAGAGGTGGAGCATGACATTGGGCACTTGGCAAATCTGCAAAACAGGAGGTGTAAACTCGACACTCAGTGCTGGCAACAACGCACTGCTCAACAGGAACAAGCAAAGCAAATATTCTGCTAGTGGGGAAAAATGGGGTGCCCTTAAGCCCATTTATCTGCTCCAGCCGTTCCTCCTCTTTCTAGGCTGCAGTGATACGGAAGTTGACCGGGGAGTCAAGTCTATTAATGCACATGTGAGAGAATCAAACTGGAACAACTTTGTAAGACCAAGCTGCTTGTTAGACAAGACTCTTGAGGGGAAGTAAACCACAGATCTAGCTGATCTGTTGCTAGAACTGGAATCAAGGTGAGGAAATGGGAGAGAAGCAGATTTTGTCTGAACCTTAGAAAAAACCTTGAGAGTAAGAGCTGTTCAGCAGTTGAAGAAATTACCTGAGGAGATGGAAGGTTCTCCTTCACTGGAGGTGTTGAAGCTGAACCTGGATGGCCACTAAAGATGCTGTAACTGTGTCCTGTAGTGTAGAACCTGCATTGAGCAGGGGGTTGGACTAGATGCTCTCTAAGCTCCCTTCCAAATCTAGAATTTTGTCATCGAGCAGCAGCTGTTTCATCAGGCTGCCTGAGCTGTATTCATCTCAGCTGGTTGTCCTAAGAACAGCAACTTTAAGAACAGGTGCCCCAAGCATGCATTTTCCTCCTCCCTCCTCATCCCTTTGGCCTTGTGTATCATGTAAACTTAAGGACGGAGACTGTCGTCCGACTACTGATCTCGCACGCCCCTGTGAGATGCTTTTATTTTGACTCGAGAGAAAGAGACAAATATACTGCAAAGGAACAAACAGTTGTAATTTTGCTCTGTTAATTAGCGGATGGAAAACGGACTGCTTTCCCTTCGGCGATCATATCTCTGCTCCTCCAACTCCGCCCGCGCTATGCGCGGCGGCAACCGCAGCATCACTCGGAGTCCAAACCCGGCGCTTTTAGGACCGCGAAGAAAGCAACGGGACACCTAGGGGGAACGGCTGGGCGCGACCACGTTCTCCAGCAGGGTGAGGCGGGCTGTATTAAAAGCCGACCTTCTCCGAAGTTCTCCTTGTCTTCCGCTTTGTGCGCAGACACTTCCTCTCTCGTCTCCCTCCCTCTTGCCGAGGGTCGAATGGTAGTTCCCAGCCTAGGACTGACTATCAGCCAAATGAAGTAGCGCTTGCAAGCTGCTACCCAAGGTATCCTCCAGAGCGGCTGCAAAGGGAGGAGGTAGCAGCTGTCGCCGCCGCCGCCGCCGCCGCCGCCTATCCAAGCCGGTCGCCGCTACTGCTGGGCGTGCGGCTCCGGCTCTTGCCCACCCGAACTCTTTGGAAAGAGACTGTGTGGGGCGCGGCGCGCCCCGCAGCCCGCCTCCCCGCCGGGACAAAGCCATGAAGCAGGCGCTCCTGGAAGTAATGAGGATGAACAGGATTTGTAGGATGGTTCTGGTCACTTGCCTGGGATCTTTCGCCCTGGTCATCTTCTATTTCCAAAGTATGTTGCATCCAGGTAGGGCGGCTCTTCTCTCTGTGCCCGCTCCGCGGCGTCTCCTCCGGTGGTTTGACTTGACGTGGAGGTAACCGGGTGGGGAGGCGGGTTGCCGCTAACTTCGGACGCGTGGAAACCAGGCGGAGCGCGGCTGAGCTTGTGCGCCCTGACCGTCTGCGGCGGAGCCGGGCGCACAAGCGGGGAACACACCCGTCGCGGCGGCGGATGGTGGCGGGGAAGATGCTGCGTGTCCAAAGGGTGGCGAGTGCCCGGGGGATGCAGGGGAGACAGGACCAGGGTGGGTCGGCGGTGGCGAGAAGCGCCTGCCAGGCTGGAGCCGGAGAGGGTGACGGCCAGACCGAGCTGTGCCGGGGCGGGGGACCATCGGAAACGGCCGCGGCGCGGCGGCTGCTGGTGGAAGATAAGGACTTTCCACTCTCGCCGGTTCGCCCTGCTGGCCATGTGCGCACAAGCTTTGGAGGAAATCCCAGCTGCGCTGCTGTTCTTGCTGCGGCGGCAGCGAACAGTATCGGGAAAGGCCCGGAGGCTCCGCATAGAAGCCATGCTTTAAGCCCGGACTTTCTCCAGCTGGTGTCCTCCAGATGTTTTTAGACTCCCGTTCCACCCGTCTGAGCCAACCGATCGAAGCAACGGTGCTGGGCGCTGTCGTTCCAAACATCTCGAGGGCATCAGCTAGTGGCGAGGAGGCTGCCGCCGCGCTTGCCTGCTTGGCCAACTGGGACCTGGCGCGCCCGCGCACGATCGCACCTTCTTCGCGTAGGCAGAGCACCCGGGTGTGGGGGTGCGAATGCCTCCGCAGACGCGGATCCCCCCCCCCGCCCCCAGCGACCGCTTGCAGAAAAAGCACCTCTCACTCCCAAAGTAAAATTGAGAGTCCTACACTCGGAATTAGTCTAAGGCTTCAGTCCTAAGCAGGTTTGAAAGTGAACTCCATCTTAGTCAGAAGCGCTTTGACTTCACGTGTGTTCAGGACGGGAACGAGGACGTGAAAGAGTCATTTTTCTTTCAGAAACGAAACTTGCGGAACAAAAAGCTCTTTCTCTCTTCTCTGTTCCCCACGCCACCATCTGAAATGCACTTCGCTCCCTTCGGGTTTGGTTTCCGGTGCCGCCGGTGCTTTTATTCTGTCTTGAAATTAATCCGAGATTATTTGCCACCCGCCTCCCAGTGACTGGAACGGACGAAGCCAGCATGGCAGAGGCGCTGTAGGGATAAGGTGCAGCGCTAGCGTCGCCCAACGCGCGCCCTCAGGACACCTTCGTCGAGCAAGCGTATTCATTTCAGTGGGTCTACTCTGAGTAGGACTAACCTTAGAGCCAACCCAAGGTGGTGCATTAGGCACAAAGAACCACCACAGCGGGACGTACTTGTAGGTGAAGATGAATCCATGTTTAATTATTCGTGATTGGGAGAGGAACGTGCATAGTTATTCTGGATTCACAAGGTGGAGTGCAAAGGAGAAAGTTGTGTGCCCCAGTGCACAGGGCATTGCTGCCCTCAAATAGGACAGAGACATTTCCAGCTTCTCCTCTTGATGGAGATGCGTGTGGAGAAGGGGTGGATATATTTTTGTTCCATGTAAAGTATCTCCCTTGCCTTTCTACTAATGGGTTTTTTCAGTGTTGGTCTAACTTGACTCTCATTTCTTTGAATGGGTCCACTCTACACAGGACTAACATTGGCCACAGCCCCTGTTTTCCAGAGAGGGTTTACTAGCACCGTCACCTGCCAGACGCAGAGCAATTGGCTTCCTGTTACAGCTGTAGGAAGAGATTAGGAATCAATTTTCAGGCTGGGGTTATAAATCCTGTCCTCTTTTCTAGGCTTGGCTACCTTAAGGGGACCCTCCTTCCTTTCCCCAGGTTTTTACAGGTGGAAATGAGCCAATACTTAGGACTTCAGGGAGATCTCGTAGTTTTGGTTGGTGTGTTTGTCCTGTATGAAGGGTAGTTCATCAGGTTGGGTAAGGTTTACCCAAGCTCTAGGGCCCTTTCCAGTCAAAGGTTAAGTCAGTTGAAATCACATTACTTTCAAGGGTAGTGGTGTGAAGTAAGTAAATGCTCATTTCTTTTCCACTGAATGCACTGGACTTTTAAATGCTTACCTTTGTCTTGGCCTGAACAGCGTACAATCCTGTTCATGTTTACACAGAAGTAAATGCCTGCTCAACTGAATCCATTGGGTTGCACCCATGTTAGTTCTACTCACCTATTAACACACATGGGACTTATAATTCATATATATAATTATTAATAACTTAAGTTCCATATATTTAGGTGGGCCTGTTAAAACAGAACTGACACTGGTTACAGCAAGCCTGTGTGTGTTACAGCGTCTGTGTATGTGTGCACTTTCTGTTGTACCCACATTTCTGAAAAATGTGTAAAAGTTAAACAGTATGTTCTTATCTTTCTATCTACAGATGTTTGGAAAGAGAGTTTTCCAGCACCGCCCTGGCAAACTTTCTCCTCTCCACCTGAAATGATCAGAGGCACATTTCATGTGTGTGCTCCCATGCCCCTTCCATTAGCTGTGGGTGTTTGATTAGTTTTTCTGTGTCAATAAGTATAAAAGGAGGCTAGGAGAAGAAAGACCTCATTTTATCATTAGCTGTCTACAGCCTTCCATCCTTCTTTGATGCGCTACATAGAAGAACACAGTAGAAAAATCTTTGCCACTTGCCAATTTAGCACAGCTGATAAGAAAGCTTTGCCTGTTGTTCCTACAGCAACAGTAACATAAGTAAATAGCATATTTCTGACTAATGATGTGAGATAAAAATCCAATAAATAAATGTAATGTAAGAACATAACTTTTCTTGCTCTGTGTGGATATGATAGCTGATTGGAGATCTTTGCAGAATTACATTGTCCAGTTGGCCATGTCAGTGGATTTTGCTTCTAAATTTGAAGCAAAACCCAAAATCTGCATTTTCAAGTAATTTGAAAATGCAGATCCAGAACATGTGGAAGATTCATACCTGTTCTTAGGAGAGCATAACAGTCTCTGCTATGATGTCTGTGAGCTTATTTGGGTGGCAATCACATACCATTAAGGAAGTTCAAGTTCATTTTTATCATGCTCAGAGCTGCCATTTGACTTTGGTAAGTAAGAAGGAAAAGTCATCTCACTCACAGCTCAAGGCACTTTTTAGACAGCAACTGCACTAAATGACTGCAGCTTCTTTTCTATAAAGTCTAGCAAGCGCTGGAAAGGATGCAAGCCACAAACTAAATGAAAGCTGTAATCCTAAACACTACAAAAAGGTAAACCCTATTGTAGGGAAACAGAAGTTAATTTACATTGGACATGCTAATAAATGCCCTGTGAGTTGGGCTAGTTCGGACCAAAACACACCTTGTTGAAAATCTGTATTTAGCAGCAAACTCCTCTGAATACAGTTTGAGACTGTACTGAAAGGGATGCTTTTAAGATTTTGATTAGACCTGTGTGCTCCACTCTAAAGAAGAAAAACTAACTTTTTAACCTGCTAGATTTAATGTCTGTTTTGGCCCTTTGGATCAAGGTGTAAACAAACATCCTAAAGTCCACACACAGGCAGTGGAACAGAGATGGGGTGCCTTTGGCCCATGGTCAGCCCTCTGTTCCCTCATCTACTGTGTAGCAATCAGATTTTTCGAATGCCTCAGTGGTAGCCAGTGGAAGCTTTAAAAAATTGATTGCTGCCCATGCGTGTGCATGAATTGACTGGTTGTGTAAGCAGTGATGCAGTGGCAAATTCTGAAGGGCAGCTGCTCATCAGGACAATGTGCATAGCCTCCCTGCAAGGAGAGACTGAAAATGCAGTCAGGGTCTTGACCCTTATCAACAAGCAGTTCCAGCAATTTTCATTTCAACCAGGAGCAGGTCGTCTTTTAAAGCAAATGTATCTTAGTGATCCATTCAAGACCAAACCTCCACCCCCACCCTCAAAAAAACCAACTTTACAACAAGCTGCAATATATTGTTGTAAGGAAAATTCATCTCCCATATACTGGGAGGATTGCAGGTAAGATGGACAGGACTAGTGAATTTTAAAAAAAAAGTTTCTGTGAGTCCTGCTGCTACTACACTGCTCTCTGCAAGAAAGCACGTGTGTTTGTGCATGGAACAGAGGGTGGGGTGACTCTGCAGACTCATTTTAACCTGCTCACTTTATGCAGTATTCCCACCCACTTCTGGCATACATCCTTTGGAAGGTCCCCTGAAAGCATATATGGGCTGTTATGCTGCAAAAGGTTCCCACACCGCAGAGGAAGAAAACTGAGCCAGTGTATGGATCAAAAAAAGCCTCGGCTCTAGAATCATAGCTGCTGTCATTGCAACTCGTCATTTCTTATCTGTTCTCCCGCACTGTCAGTGTATGCTCCTTGGGGCAATGACTTGTCTCTTTTGCTATCAGTACAATGTAAAGGTGCATGTATATTGACTGTCCTATATGAAGACAGCCTGGGCCAGAGGTGGGCAGAATTTAGGCTTTAGTGGAACCTCGGGGTTTTCTGGCTGTTTGTGTCAGGCTTTCTTTTTGATAACTTTTTCTTATCTGTTGCCATGGGTGCCTCTGAAGTCTGGCGGAAATTAAAAAGCAGCTGCTTCTGAGCAGAGCTCTTGCACATTTGTCATGGCTGAAGGTTAGCTTTGAACATAGCTGTGGGAATGTTGCGGCTGAAGGTTTGCTGTGATTTGTGTATATTTATTTAGTAAGCTTCTATACCGCCCCATTCGCCGAAGCCTCAGGGCGGCTCACAATAAATAAATAATCACAATATAAAAACAATATAAACAATATATTAATCTATGAGATGGTTGCATGTTTCTGCTTTGAGCTGGTAGTGCCATGCTGAGGCAGCTGATCCAAGCTTGTAGTCTGGTGATGCCAAATGATATTGGCATGCCTACTTTTTGCACGACCTCTTAGTGCCACAATATTTTATTGAATTTGCCCAGTCATTGCATTTTTTTTCGGGGCCATTTGTGTTTCAGATTGGTCAATTGTCCTG